GAACTGTCCTGAGCGCGTCCTCGACAGCCGGCGCTTGACGCGTCTTCTTCTTATTGACTTATAAGACTTATAGACTTATAAGTGCATTACCGCCACCTATCTCTCAAATGAACTATTGACACTCTATCTACAATCTCAATTAGGCGTGTCAATGGTCCATTTGAGAGATAGGTGGCAGTAATGCACTTATAAGCCTGCGATCCGCCAAAAAGCAAGAAGAAGAAGACGCGTCACGCCCCGGCTGGCGCTCAGGACAGTTCAGATATTGCAGTGCATTAGAGGTAAAAAAAAAAAAAACTATATAAATACTGTTCAGTTTCTTGCACAGACCAATCGTTTCGTGTCTTTACACATCAATGTATCATCACGAGCCGCGGGGTTTAATTTGGTTTTGTTTGTGTATGTTTTTTTTTACTCTCAAAGCCGTGATTCCCATTCACTTGCATTATATGACTGACAGACTGCAACGGTTTGAGTTAAAAATCTTCGTTTGTGTTCTACTGAAGAAACAAAGTCACCTACATCTTGGATGCCCTGGGGGTAAGCAGATAAACATCAAATTTTCATTTTTGAGAGAACTATCCCTTTAAACAATACACCCATGTGCTTGAACATTTAATGTCAAAATCATGGGAGCTTGTCCTAACAGAATCCACTCACATGGGAATGTTTTTAACTAGATAATACTGGAAAATAAAGATACACTCAATTTCAGTAAAAAATGAGGTTGCACGGCTGTATATTTGATTTTATGCACCTGTCAGTAATGAAGAAAGCTACTGAACCAGTTTATTAGAAGTAAGTTTCCACGTACTTTTGGTCACAGTGCGTTAGGAGCAGGTTTTTCAATGGGGTTTTTTTTGAGAGTTGGTGAAAACTTAAATTCCACAACAACCGGGAAGTGAGAGAGAAATCAGAGTAAAAGTACAAAGTAGTGCAAAAAAAAAAAAAGACAATCAGTGAACTGTAGAATTCATTGACCTAATTCTCTACGTTGCAAATATTTGACATCGTAAGAATTTGATTTACTGACTGTATGCGTGCAACGCTGCCTTCTCTTAAAGTGTGCCGCGGGCTAAAAAGGTAGCAAACTGACAGAAATGTAGGCGTGTACTAGAAGGAGCTGCGGGCCATGTTCCGGGGGAGAAAAAAGCTTGAATCAGGAGGGTGTCAGTGTCACCACAATGGAA